GCAATAGGCCGGCCGGTTTTGAACTACGCAGCGCCAGTGTGGTCGCCAGGGACTAGTAGGATGCAGTGGACGAAGCTACAGATAAGCAGATATAATGCTCTGCAAGCAGTTCCTGATCGGGAGCCACAAAAGTGGCCACCCAAGCAGACAGCTGCTTGCAGAGGAGCCCTCGCCTAGGCACGTCAGGAGGCATCTATATGAACTAACGGACGAAGTCCAGAGGTTCATTAAGCAACCTCTGGACCCGACAGCTTACAGACAGGCCCTGAACGGCATTCACAGGGACTCAGTCTCGAGTTATGTAGACTCTAGACCTGTGAATGCCGTTCTAGGCACACCACCCCCGGACATAGACGAGACGGAGCTTCATCTGCCTCGGGAGACACGCACTACACTCGCACAACTTCGCTCCGGCTACTGCAGCAGGTTAAACTCCTACTTGAGTAGGTTGAATGAGGATGTGCCGAACGAATGTCCGGCATGCGGAGAGACCCCACATGACTCGAAACATCTCTCCGCATGCCCGGAAAACCCGACATCCCTAACGGCCTTGTCCCTATGGGCAAACCCCGCTGCACGCTTCCTAGGGTTGCCGTTAGTGGAACTTGACGACAACGACTGAGATACCAACCGATCTGGGCGGGGTTGTTGTAGCCGCTACAACAACAACAACAACAACAACATGGTAACAAAATTTACCGCTTACAAGAGTACACAGAATTCGAAAAGGGTTTAAAATTTGACAGGAACATAATTTACCGGTTACAAAACTCTTAATACCAGCGCAGAATAGACCTGTTAGCCCCTTATTTAGTCCCACAATATAGTGATACGAGGAGAAATGAATTGTTGAAGATAAAAAATGCACATCTACTACGAAAACTTGATTTTTACTCCCATTTTCGCAGTCCGAACCCAGAGCGCTCGATGAAGGTCAGCTAGTGATCAGTATTGCCAAGTTTTTTTATTTAAAAAAGCACCAAAACACTGAAAATAATTTCCCCCCCAAAAAAAAACACCATATTTGTATTGCTGTGTTTAATGGTATTTTTGCATATAAAGCTGCATGTTCAAATATTTTAAGTAATCACGCAATGTCACTTGTAAATATTTCCAACTATGCGCAATTAATTAATTTAATTAGCAATTTTTTTTTTATTCGTAAAACAATTTGCAAAACTTTACTTGGTTTCTCTAGCGGCTTCATTTTCATGCAATTGCTTACTTTTGTACAAATGCTAAGCTTACTTTTGTACAAATGCCAGCTAATTAGCAGAATATTCTATAAATTTCGTGATAGAGACTGTGTGAAAATATTGCGATTAGATTATCTGGGAGCGTATTATCCAGAGGAGAAGCTCGGCCAAACACTAACATATGTGTAAGTCAACGGTTAAAGTTTTCCGTACGTTTGGAATGAATAAATGAATGAACAAAATATATACAATTTTACCATAGAATTACGTTTTTATTATAAAATTACATTGAAAAGGGCACCAAAGAACGAAACAAGCGCTAAACTAAAAAATTGTCTAGTTTTAATTCCCTAAACGCACTTAATTTATTGCGAAAGGCACAAAGTTGGCAACAGTTATAGCGATATCAAATTTGCCCATATACAAGCATGGACAGAGAATGAGCGCCTGCTTAAAGAGCGTAAGCATTACATGCGTATACATGCGAGAGCGTAACAAAATGAACGCAAAATCATTCAAACGTAATTGGCACACTAACACAATTACACTTTCAGCTCGTGTTTACTTGGGGTAGTGATCACCGCTGCTCATATATGTGGCGTACGCGAAATGGACTCGCTTAATCGTACGGGCAAAAAAGCTCATACGGGCAAATGTGCCCATGTCTGACGTACACCATACATAACATGATACAAAACTCTCTAAGTGCAATGTTTGTAAGAAAAAACACTTGATCGTTATTTACCGGGACGTTACACATTCAATTTTCCCCTTTCAATTTTCAATACAGTCACACTTTTTTACTAACACACAGCCATAAATATTTATTACTTGAATGGGCAACTTGGTTTAAATTTTTCCCTTTCAATTGAGTTTAAATTTTGTGAAAATAAAAAAATACTAAGTTTCTGCATGTTAAAATGTTAATTTACAATGGAATTAAAAATGGAAAATGGTCTTCAGAAGCTAGTTAGTTACATTGTTTTCTTGAAGACATGTTGATAGTAAAATTGCTTCTCAAATTGAATGCAGCCTACGTAATGACTTTCAATTTTGATGACAAGCAATGTGTGGGAGGAAATTGAAAGGCAAAACTGATTGTGTGTCGTCAGCGTTAAGAATTTTATGACACGCAACCACAAATCAGGCTAAATTTTTTTGATTTTCGAGTGTTTTACTTAATAAATGACATTTTTTAATAAATACCCATACATGTTTTTCTTAGCAGTGGCACTATTGGAAGATGTTATAAAAAATGAATCTCTGACAGCGATTTAATGTTTTTGGCGATATTTACTTTTACTCAAAACTTTTTTCAGAATTTATTTTTGGCATTGAAAAAAACAAACTCGCAGGATAGCCATTTTATAAGATTAATTCAGACTGTTATATGCTTAACGGCGGCCGATGTTTTGTAGTGCTTAGCAGTGCGTGCTATCACTCCGCAGGGCCTGGGCCCTTTGTGTGTGGCCGTTAAGTAGTCAGAATTTTAACCCGATTTTCGGAATCAGTGAGCAATTATACATAGGAATTGGATAGTGGCATCCAGTGTGCATTTTTTCTGTAAACCAGTGTAGTTAATGAAGTTACAGGCAATGAAGTGCGCAGAGGTACGAAACCCCGGGTTTTAACCGTATGTCAAGATTTTGGGGGTGTTTGGCAAATTTCATATTTCGATTCTTGTTTTTCTCGACACCATTTCCCAGTTATTTCTACTTCATTCTTTTTTGTAGCACTGTGTAATTGAAGAAATTGAAACTCGAAAAATAACTATTTCTCAAGAAATTGTCTGCTGTTAAGTTAAATTTGCGGAGTTGTGTATATAAATACAATTACCTCCACCCATAAAGGTTCCACAGCTTTTGGACAGCGCTCATATATGCCGATCCCATGTGAAAAATCTATGACCTCATCATCGGTTCCATGTATTACAAGAACAGGTGACTTCACTTTGGAAACCTTGTCAATACTAATGCAAACATTATTTTTCATCTGAAACATGTTTGTATAATTATATGGGTACTTACCTTGGGAATGCATCAAAAAACCATGTTCTCTTTGTGTTGCGGAAAACCACTCTTAATCCAGACATTAATGGGGAATGAAGAATAACTGCACCAACTTCATGCTTTGTAGCCAAATCAACCGTCGGCACTGTTCCAATACTTTGCCCATATAAAATAATGGTTTCGGGACTGATATTAAATCTATAAAGTCGTAATTGTATGAAAATATATATATTTGATGAAACATGACAAAATGCCATATACAAAATGTAATATAATTATGTAAATAAATAGATGGAAGATTACGTAATTAAACTAAATATATAGTCACCTGAGTGGAAGATCAACCTATCTCGGCAGCCAGTTCGAAAACGCCCAATCTCAGAAAACTTTCCAAGAACGCTCTACTTCGGAATTTGATTAAAGAACGCCCTATTTCAAAATTTGATTGAAAAACATCTTATCTCAGAATTTGGTCGAAGATCGCCCTAACTCAGAATTCGGTTCAAAAACTCCTTATCTCAGCTGAAAATAAATTGAAAATGTGCTGAGATAGGGCGTTTTTGAATCGGCGGCTGAAATAAGCCGTTTTTCAACAAAATTCTGAGATAGTGTTTTTGAATTAAGTTCTGAAGTAGGGCGTTCTTGAAATGTTTTCTGAGATAGGGCGTTTTCGAACTGATTGCCGAGAAAGGTCGATCTTCCACTCAGGTGACGATATGTACTTGTTAAGTTATTAAATTTAACTTAGCCCTAAGAATAATATTGCGAGTTTGCATTAAGCATTAGAGCCTAAAATGTTATCGGACTTCGTTGTCCATTGCTATTAAATAATTAGATGTATTGCCAAAAGTGCATTTGTATGGTAGAGATTATTATCGAAGTGAATAGACGCAAATAAAGAGAATATTTTAAACCTTAAACACAGTGTCAGAAGTGAAAAACTTGCAAAGATGAAGACGATATTGGGTTTGCGTTTACCACAACCATTGGACTGCTCCGAATGGCCAATGGAAACAAACATTCGTAATATATCTAATAACGAATAATAAGATGTCTGAGTCCAAGCAAAACAAGATTGCTACTTTCTGTGGCTGATTGGTCATATAACATAATAATAGATTGGCGCTTACACATATGTTAGTGTATGGCCGAGATTCTCCTCCAACTCGTGGCGTGCGCCTTGATGTCACACAAAGGGACCTACAGTCTTCTGCCTACTCCGAACAGCGATTGTATTTTTATTAGAAGCTGTTTTCAAGGAAGAAATACACTCGGAGGTTTGCCATTGCCTGCCAACGACGACCGCTATTAGAAAAATATTTTTTTTGTTTTCAACAATTTTTATTGAGCTCGAGGCCGTTTTTTAATGAAAACTTATTGTGGAAAAGCAACAATAATTTGAAAAAATGGTAGAAGTGATAGCTATTTCGGAAATCACCACATTTCCTCATCAGACTTCTTTCAGTAGGATTCGAACCGACGATCCCACTGACTCAGGCTGTTGCCTACGCACTGTGCTAAGTTCGCCTTGTTAATTCCTGTTGCTTATTTCCACTATTTCACTTGTTAAGCCAACTACAATCAAGCGCAGCTAATCCGCTGCAATTCACTTGATCATGTGGTTGTTGGTTTTGTTGGTTTTTGTTAATATTTCTATTATTAGAATGTTTAACTTTTAGGTGTGCTCGTCCTTAAGTTATTTGTTTTTGTTATTTTATGGCCTTATAACAATTATATTCAACAATTTTTATTGCGCTCGAGGCCGTTTTTTAATGAAAACTTATTGTGGAAAAGCAACAATAATATGAAAACAATGTAGAAGTGATAGCTATTTCGGAAATCACCACATATCCTCATCAGACTTCTTTCACAATAAGTTTTCATAAAAAACGGCCTCGAACTCAATAAAAATTGTTGAATATAATTGTTATAAGGTCAAGGTAAGGTTTCTAGTTTTTGATGTTGGGTTAAACCTGGTTGGAAGCCAGGCTCTGTGGAATCGTAGGGCGCACACAAATATTTAACATATTGTTCCCAAATAACGGTAGCAGCGAATGTTTGTAGCGTCGCCGAATCAAAACCAAATCAAAATGACGGCAGTGGTGCAAATGTGTTACCTACAAATCAACATATTCGACAATTGATAGCATCATCAAAGCGTTTGATAAATACTGTTTGCTGAAGAAAAATACAGCAACGGAGGCATTCAAGCCGGCAAGGTTGAACAAACAACCGTTTGCTGAATATGAAACCGCACTTCGCACACAAATACAATTTTGCGAATTGGAATGTCAAAATTGTAAAGCATCGTATAATGATCGCACGTGTTTACAAACCCATTTTATCACCTTATTTGTTATATGCAAAAGTTGTAGAATTAAATCGAAAATTAATCAAGCTTTCATTGGATATGCAACATGCTGTCAATAGTCATCACTTTACAAAGGTTTTGAATAAAACAATCCTAGTCCGTGCAACACCGGCTCACTATCCACAGTATTTTTTCGCAGAACTTCTTTCGCGCTTAGGATTGTAACCATTACCATGCAAAATTCTCCTTTCTGTGTTGCCGGAGAAAAGAAGCTGATCTCCTTTATGCGTAGGCGGCCTTTGGCCGCGCTAAGTGATGGTAACCCTTCTTCTTCTTCTTTTTTGGCGCTGTAACCGCCTAAGCGATTTTGG